TATTTAACTTTTACAGACATACACTCAATATAAATAAAATCCTTAATATTTAACATGTATAAAATATATGGAACGCACAAAACGATACAAATAACTATACATATTAAAAGCCCTCCGGGTAGACCTCTATCGGTTCCCAGAGGTTGGCCACGAGTGGCGCAGTGGGGGGCGGATTTTATTAATCAAGTGTGTTGAGGAAGATGTCCGAGCTACGTCCTAGGACATGGTCCTTTCCATAGCTGATAGGGCGAGCTGCTCAGTGCGAGCGAAAATTCGAATGTTTGGATTGCGCTATCATGAACTCTATAATTTGTCGTTAATTTGTTTGTGGAAAATTAAAGAAAAACCAAATACCACATTTTGACAATTCGATTTGTATTTATGTCGAGGGGAGTAGGGAAGGGTGAGGGTTAGGATGGGTTTTGTGGAATAAAAAGGGATCAACAGACTGAGATTCAGCACATAGATTATGCAGATTGAATCTAGATGCATATCTGTTGGTCGGTGCCAACAGGAATGCGCTTACTATGCCCAGCTACGGGCAATATGTGTAGACACTCGGAGGTCGTACAGTCGGACCAGAGCGTTCAGTCCTGGGGCCGACCAAACCACCTTCGAGTCGTGAAATTTGTTTGTGAGGGAGTGCTTTCAATCTGTTGGGATGGATTGGGAAGGTGGGTGGTTATTCCAGGGGTTCTCTGAAAATACTACAAGCTTCTCAAATCAGCCCGTGCTTTTTGCGTTGGCCATGATCTGCCCTAATTGACGTAATACCATCTGTTAGGGAGCTGTTTCGTATGTGGTACGAGTAGAATTTATCCGATAATTTAAGGATATAGTCCTTTATTAGGGGCAGATCATAGCACTGTGCATGCATATCTGCCACTCGAGAGTACCTATTACCGTTTGTAATTATACGAAGTACCTTATTCTGTAGTATTTGTAACTTACCCATATGGGTAGGCGAAATACTACAGAACACCGGACAGGCGTATGTTAGAGTAGGACGTATGATCTGTTTGTATATCAGGAGCTTGTTGTTTATAGTCAGCGAGGAATTCCTCGCTAACAGCGGATACAAGCTCCTGATTGCAGCATTGGCCTTTGCCAATAAGTAATCTGTATTTGCGAAAAAGTTCATACGCCTGTCCAGAGCTACTCCCAGGTATTTCACAACAGCTTTGCCCTCCACCTCAGTGTCTTTGACACGCAAAGGTCGGAAAAGCGTATTGTTGGTATATTTCCTTGAAAAGTTGATTATCTCAGTTTTCGCATGATTTATCCGGATCTTTGCATTGTCAAAGTACGGTACGACCCTTCTGTCCAGGTGGTGCTGGATCTGTGCCCTGGCGACGTCCGAGAAGTACGAGTGTGCATAGATAGCAGTATCATCTGCGTACAATGCGGTACTCGTACTTTCGGACACAGGAAGGTCGTACGTATATAATGAGTACAGCAGAGGTGAAACGCACGACCCCTGTGGAACCCCTGCCTCGAGTGGGAATTCTCGCGATGATGAATTATTGAGTTTGACTCTTATTGTTCGACGGGATAAATACGAATCTATCAATTTAACAATGAACATGGGCATCCCTGCAGACGCCAGCTTGCATATCAGCCCCTCATGCCAAACGGTGTCAAATGCTTTTTCAATATCCATCAGGACCATAACTGTGTTCTCATCTCGGCTGAAGGCTTCTTTGATCCCGTGGACTATTCGGGCTACTTGAGACGTTGTGCTATGTCCCTTTCGGAACCCGAATTGTTCAGGAGGGATCACACTCAGGTCTTCTGCAAGAGTGTCAACCATACGAAGAATTGTCTTATCTATCACTCTGGCCACCATGCTGAGCAAAGAGATAGGGCGGTAACTACCTGGTTGCTTGGGATCTTTCCTTGATTTCAATATAGGTACAACAACTCCAGTCTTGAGAGACTCTGGGTAGTACTGGTGCCTAATAATAGAATTAATTATATAGTGCAATTGAACGACCGTCTTACGAGGCATGTTTTTCAGCAAAATCACATCGACACCGTCGAGTCCTGGTGCTTTGTTGATGTTCATCCGTTTGATATCTTGCATTACAATTCTGGGAGTAGTGAGGAATCTTCCCAGGACTCGACGGGACAAAGGAATACTAGGTATGGTTCGATATCGTGCTGCCAACCTCAAAATCTCAGCCTGTTGGTCGTTTATAGGATTTTTATCAATTTGATTTATGCTTTGGAAATGCCTCCCAAGCATTTCTACTTTCTGCGGATCTGTCACCGCGTCTCCGGAACGATTCTCTAGGGTAGGGACGATTTGGGCTTTCTTGCGAAGTCCCTTCGTCATTTTCCACAGAGAATTGTCCCGAGGACTCAAGTTCTCTACCTTGGCCCTCCAGGCTGCATTCCTGACCTCACGGATCCTCACGTCTACAAGATTGCCGAGTCTCTTAAACTCATTTCGAGACTCGGCCGTCCTCAGGCGCTGCCAGGTTCGCCTGGCACGCTTCTTCAGTGCAATGAGGTCAAGAATATCTCCAGGAAGGTGGTCCCTGGTGGAGCTGATAGTGACCTTACGAGTGGATACCGCTCTGGCCTCCTGGATGATCTTGATGAGGGTTTTTACTTCTTCATCAATCTCATCCAGAGGGATGTTTGCCCTAATTATTGTTTTCTCATTCAAATGAGCTCTAAACATCCTCCAGTCTGTGTTTCGGTAGTCAAAAATTGATTTTTTGATTTCGGGGGCTTTTACTCCCGATTCAAATAGCACTGGAAGATGATCAGAGCTCATCTCATCCACTATTTTGATTCTGGCGACATCCACAACGTTTTTTGTCACTACCAGGTCAATGATCGTCGGTGACGTTCCGTTGAAGGAAAGATGAGTGGGAGAGCTAGGAGCCTCGATGTTGACATTGGCAGCCATGCCGAACCTCCTCAAGGTACGTCCATTTGTATTGTCGGCGTGATTTCCCCAATCTGCATGCCTCGCATTCAGGTCGCCTGCAATGATGACTTTATTCCCAGCACTACACAGAGCCTCGAGGTCGTGCTCAGTGAAGTTCTTCCTGGGGCTGTTGTATACCGAAAAAAGTACCTCCCCACTATGTAGTCTCACTCCGACGTGCTCTATAGAACAGAGTCTCGGCGGAACCACAGAGTGGGGGATGTTATTCCTGACCAGGATAGCCACCCCTCCATATCTGTCTGCGCCAGGCCGGTCAACCCTAGTGATAGCAAAACCCTTCACACGAAAATTATGCTCCTGTCGGAGTTTGGTTGCCGATAAGAAGATGATATCAAGATGGTTTCTCTGTACAAAATCAACAAAAGATGGCATCTTGTTACTGATGCCATTTGCGTTAAAATTGCACATCTTGAGAGCCACGCTAATTGTTAATTCGGTAACTCGCTATATTTTCAGCGAACTCCTGGAATATCATCAAGATGTCCATGGGGTTTTTGTTGGATGCAGCAATCCTCGTATTCAAATCTCGCAGCGCCCTAAACAACTCACCCAAATTGACTTGTTGACTAAGAGTCCGCAGCTCAGCCATCACCCCCATCATCTCGGTGTTAGTCCCAGTCCCCTGCGCACTCGTTGCCGGCCTCTGGGAGCTGGTTTGAGAAGGTGGGTCACTTCTATCCATCTCTGCTGCTACGGTGGGCTGCCGGGCCTCTCTACGTTGTTCCCACGCATTCCTGGTGGGGGAAGGGGCGGGGGTGTAACCACCTCTACCAGGCCTATTGACCCGACTTTGATGAAGTATAGCTATTTTCTTTTTATAGATCTCACAATCCGTGCTGTTCGCAGGGTGATCGTTCCCGCAGTTCGCACATCTTGCAGGCTGCGAGTTGTGCAAACTGCAGGCCGACGTGAGGTGGCCACCAGCGCATTTCAGGCACCTAGGTGGTCTGAAACAGTTGCTGGTGGCATGTCCCCACACCTGGCACCGCCTGCACTGTGAGATCTCGCGATTATTGCGTCGCATCTCCCACGAAATTTTTGTTGATAGTATGTATTTAGCTTTATTGTTGAGAAGTTGTAGAGTGTATTTCGGGTCAACAACGACAAGGTAAAGGGGCCTAAACCTTGTCCGAAGCCTGAAGACTTCCTTGGCCACTATTTGATGTTGTTCCAGTAAGTCTGTTGTGACTTCAGAGGCCTCAGGCTCGAAGTCCAGTCCTCGCACCACGAATGCGTGAGACTTATCTTTTCTTTGCGTATAGGTGTGAAAAGGGACACTTTCAGTCTTGAACTTATCCCGCAGCTTTACATAGTCCTCTTCATTTTCCGCATAGAGCAAAGTGGAATTGTGTCCGTATTTAAAGAAAACTGTTTCTTCTGCTATGGATCTGATTTCTTCTAGAAACCTCCTCCTGTCTGTGATTATCCCTTGTATGACAATGGGAGGAGGCTTCTGGTTCTTCTTAGGTTGATTAGTATTATTTTGTTTGGTTTTTGGGTTATTTTTATTTAGTTTTTGTGTTTTGTTATTTTTGTTTGCCTTATTTTTCTTGGGGTTGCTCTTTGTAATTAGTACCTGCTCCTCTTCATCCTCGGAGGAGGAACAGCTACTGCTAATAGGGGGAGTGGGGCGGGTCTCTTTGATTCCACTAGTCTCAGAAGGGCCAGGCTGGGCCTGGTCGGAGATGGGGTTGAACCTATTAGCCGTCTCAACTGGTTTTATTTCGCACCTCTGCTTGATCATCTCCGACCATTTGCTGCTTTTCTTTGGGACGATAAAGCCATCATTGTCTTTGGCCTGCTTGGTGGTAGCTCCACTCTGGTTCTCTTCCGTATCTGGTAGGGGGTCGTTCGATCTCCTCCTTTTCTCCAGCAATCGCCCCATCGGATGCAGTTCTACCTCCATAAGGCTGTTATTTCTCTCCTCACTCTGCAGACTCCTCAGTCCCTCTGCATATGCCAGATTGAAGTGAGCCGGCATAGCAGGGATTTCCTCAACAAGGGGCTGTGTAGTGATCTTGAAGTTCACAGAGGGGGTAACTTACACCGCCTCCTCCACAAAATCCCCGATTAGCCTCGGGGATCTGGGTCGATCTTGATTTTCAGGTGTGTATGTTCTTCTAGGGTTCCTGGTCCTTAGCGTTCTGGTTACAGCCATGCTTATTTCCAGGTGAGTGGGGGAGGAGGTTGGAGAGTTGGATTTATGAGCAGACCCTCTCATCCTCGCATCTCTATCTTCCTGAGTTTCCTCGTTCACCTCGTTCCGTGAGGGAGGAGTAGGGGATGGAGGGGGTGATCGGTGAGTGGTTACTGCATCTCGTGGGGGGATGGTTAGTTTGACATTCCTTGTGTTTGCATTTACACGCTTCTCCTCCTCCTGGGTGGGGGTGGTGCTTAGTCGATTGGGGATAGTCGACGCTCTAGATGATAAGAAGTCTTCTATGCTCGAAAATGATCTATTGACGATGTCATAATTGTCAGGTTGCAACCCCTCTATATTATTCGGCTTCATTTTTTCTTGTATCAGCTGGGTTCTAGCCTCGAAACTAATTTTGGGGTACATTTGCCCTGTCATCCTCCACAATGACAGAGGAATGTTTTCTGGTTTGGCGAGGGTTTCTATCTCCGTGAGGATATCCATCACAATGACCTTGTGCTGCGTGTTATCCAGCTTGATGTTCGTGATTTTGGGTGACTTGCAGACTTTGAAGTCGCTCCATTTTTCAAAGTCATTGAGGTGGTACCCTGTTTTCTCGTAGAATTTTCGAAACGCTTCCAGCTTCCATTTGTCGGGAAGATTCGTGAAGAGGTTTCTTCGCATATGGGCTGGTATTTGCTGCAAATTCCTGATGGGCAGGTTTTTAATGCCTCCCATTCTGCCAAAGATCGGGATTTCGTTGTTTGTTTTGCTCCTATTGTGCTTTGTGAGGTCTTCTATCACGACGATGTCGGGGGTGGAGGACCCTTCTCCAGCCGAACCTACTCGATCCAGCTCAGCTGGATCGGATTTGTCTCCACCCTGTTCATTGCCGTTTCTAGAACCCTCAATGTTGTAGGCCGATCTTAGTTTCCTCACTGTCTTCCCTACTCCTTCCAGGTTGTTACAGGGTGCCGAAGCACCCTGTGTTATGTGGCTGAAAGCGTTATCTGACCCAGCTGATTCAAGATATACTCTAGATGCAGACTCTTTGTCTGCCAGTATATAATTGGCTGAGCGGTCTTGAGTCTCAACTCAGGTCCCGCGCCAACCGTTTTTAGGTGACGATCCGACTCGGACACGTAAAACTCAGTTTAATCGAATATGTATGTTTATATTAGCACCTACCACGACACCACGACACCGATGTTCAAGGTCGCCTGATTCCGGCACGTATGCGACCGTCTGTTTAGCGGGCCGAAGCGCGAAGCACTGAGTACGACCGTAATGGCGTCCTTGCAGGTGAAGAAGATCGTGGTGGTACTCTCACCTTACAGTCCCTTATTAGGTGTCCAGTTCTGCCACAGCGATAGCAGGATCTGTTTCGCTGGTTGCTTGACCCACTCTTAATTTCTTTGATCGAGTCCTTCAGTTCTTCAAACATTTTTCCTAACATTTTTGCCAATGGGTCCACGTGTTCGGAAGGCTCCTCTATGGACACAGCTCTCACTTTTGGCCTAGAGGTGTTGAAGGCCGCTTCTACCTCCAGAGATCTCACTAGGGCTTCACCACTCCTCTTAAAGTGTGTAAGCCTCAGAGTCTTCTGTATTTCTGAGTCTCTCAGCCCGTCGATGAATACCTGCACCGCCAGTTGTTCTTTGAAGTCCTCTGGTGCCTCTGGGTAGGCTAATTGAGTCAGTCTTCTCACATCTGCTTCGAACTCCTGTAAGCTCTCTCCAGACTTCTGCACACGATTTTTCATCTGAGCCCGGTAAAGCTGTTCTCGATGTTGGTCACCATACCTGAGTTCTAGTGCAGCCACTAAATCTCCGAAGTGGTTTTGTTGTTCCACTGGGATCGACTGTAACATCCCCAAAGCTGGTCCTCTCAGAGCTACAATGAGTGCAGTAGCTTTTTCCTCGTCACTCCACCCATTTGCACTTGCTGCAGCCTCAAATTGTCGGCGATACATAGACCAAGGCGACTGTCCATCAAAAGTTGGTGGTTTCACGGAGGAACCCGATGTGGCAACCCTGTCACGACGATCTTGACTTCGTAGCGAGGCGATCTGATTCGCTACATCCCTTTTGATTGTATCGAACATGAAATCTATTCTTGAAACTTCCTGGTTAAGCTTGTCGTCAATTTTGGTGAAATCTGTCTTCAACTCATCTATTTGCACATCAGTTTTATGCAGAATTGGTTCGAAGAAGATTTTCTGATGTTCTCGTTCTTTTTCTTGATTCTCTAGAATTTTCTGTAACTCTTCTTGACGACGTTGCTCTTCTTCTAATTTTTCCTCTCGACGACGTTTCTCTTCCTCTTGTTTTTCTTTCTGTCGTCGTTCCTCTTGTTCCGCGAACTGATTTTGCATAAATTTCAAAATGTCTTCCATCGCGTCGTATGACGTACTCCTTGTATTCACCATACGTCTTCAAATGTCCTCGAAAAATCCACACTTCTGACACCACTGTTACGATTTTACTCTGGGTCCGTAATAATTTAACACTCGGTAGAACACTTAAAACGATTTATTCTGAACAATAATAACAATACTCGTACTAAACACTTCCGATTCACAACACTTCTTCGATCGTTATTATAACGCTTCCAAATAAAGACTTCCTTCCTGTCCCTAACAAAAACTATTTATACTACCTAATAAAACGTCTAGATTCCACTCGAAATATCGTGAACAGGTCGATAATCTTCTCGAGTCATCTCAATAGCCGTCGATTTCTATTCCAAGAAATATGGCTTGTTTATACTTTCCGCAGGTAGCTGGGATCGATTGCCAGGGTCGTAACAGTATCCTTGTGAGATGATAGGATACGTATGCATGTCAGATTCTAGAGTGCAGAGTTACAGTGTTAACATAGTCAAAGTCGAACTTTCCTGTTCTGCAAACTGTGTGCGTTATACCCGCTTGAGAGTCGTCTAATATGGTCAATGCGAACTCGTCTGCTTCGATAGTGTCCATGTGAGAAGACAGGATAGAGAGATATAATGTATACGACGATGAAGTCTATGTATCCCCATTTGCCAATTGTACTCGTTATATAACCTTCAAAGTTGTCTCATACGGTCACTGCCATCGTATCTGCTCAACTGTATGCATGTCAGATGCTAGACTGCAGAGTTAGTGTGAACATAGCCAAAGTCGGAAGTTTTCATTCTGCAAGCTGTGTGCGTTATACCCGCATAGGAGTCGTCTCATATGGTCAATGAAAACTTATCTGTTCAATAGTGTCAATGTAAAATGAAAGAATTGAAAGATATAGTGTGCACAACGATGAAGTCGATATATTTCCATTTGCCTGTTGTACTCGCTATATACCCTTCAAAGTCGTCTTATATGGCACTGCAGTCGTATCTGCTTCAACTGCATGCATGTCAGATGTTATACTGCAGAGTTACAGTGTAAACATAGTCGAAGGCGAGGTTTTTTGTTCTGCAAGCTTAGTGCGTTAATTCTGCTTGAGAGTCGTCTTATATGGTCATCGCCAACTTGTCTGCTTCAATAGTGTCCATGTAAAACGATAAGATAGAGAGATATAGTGTGCACAACGATGAAGTCGATGTATCTTCATTTGCCTATTGTACCCGTTATAATCCTTCCAAAGTCGTCTCATACGGTCACTGCAATCGTTCCTGCATTAACTGTATGCATGTCAGATGCTAGACTGCAGAGTTTCTGTGTGAACATAGTCGTAGTCGAAGTTTCTTGTTCTGCAAGTTGTGTGCTTTATATTCTCTTGGAAATCATCTTGTATGGTCATTGTGAACTTGTCTGCTTCAATAGTGACCAAGTGAGATGATAGGATAGGGAGATATAGTGTGCACAATGATGAAGTCGATGTAACTTCATTTGCCCATTGAACTCGTTATCTACCCTTCACAGTCGACTTATACGGTCACTGCCATCGTATCTGCCTCAACTATATGCATGTCAGATGCTAGACGGCAGAGAAACAGTGTAGACATAGTCGAAGTAAGAGTCTCTTGTTGTGCAAGTTGTGTGCGTTATACCGCTTGGAAATCGTCTCATATGGGCATCGCGAACTCGTCTGCTTCAATAGTATCCATGTGAGATGAAAGGATAGAGAGATATAGTGTGCACACCGATGAAGTCGATGTATCTTCATCTGCCTATTGTACTCGCTATATACCCTTCAAAGTCGTCTTATGTTACTACGATCATATCTGCTTCAACTGTATGCATGTCAGATGCTAGACTGCATAGTTACATTCGAAGTCGAAGTTTCTTGTTCTGCAAGCTGACCACTCTGGTGTATTTTGTGTTATGGATTTATCATATGCTCGCCATATACCCAAACTAATTACGTACAGGAACTACAATAATTTTTCTAACCATGAGTTCAATACCGACCTTTCGATGATTTCGTGGGATAATGTTTTGTATCTGAATGACATTGATCAAAAGATTGATTACTTTACGAACAATGTTATTAATTTATTTAATGTTCATGCTCCATACGTTTCTTCCAAAATCACCAAACCATTTGCTCCATGGTTGACTTTTAATATTCGTAGTATGATGAAAGTCAGATGTGCAACAGAATATATTTGCTATAAAGATTTACGTAACACGGTAACTAGTGCTATACGTAAAGAAAAATTAGCTTATCTAACATTTCTATCAATAAAAAATAATATCAAAAAACTTTGGAAAACACTTGATTCAATGAACATTAGAGGAAAAACGGTGAGTGAAATACCAGTAGAATTGCGAAACTCTGATCGGATCAATAGCTACTTCACATCTGTTTTTACTCCGGAAAATAATTGTCCTGAAATGACTAACTATTATAAATCGAATAAATTCAACCCGGATATTCAATTTTCTTCCAAATTAGCAACAATAGATAAAGTAAAACAAATTGTTATAGATTTGAAATCAAATGCGTTAGGTTGCGATAATATTTCCGCGAGAATGCTTCAATTTTGTTTGCCAGTTATAGCACCTTACTTAACTCATGTAATCAATTGTTGTCTGGAAACTGGATATTTCTCCGCATCATGGAGACGTTCTATTATTAAGCCACTTCCCAAGATAGCTAATCCCGCCTCTTTTGGCGATCTGCGCCCTGTAAGTATTCTTCCAGCAATATCTAAAATTTTTGAAAAAGTAGTAGCAAAACAGATATATGAATTTGTGATGGAAAATAACATGTTCCAAATTTTCAATCCGGCTTTCGTAGAGGATTCAGTACAACGACATTACTGCTAAATATTACTGATTACATAATTAGATCATTGGATATAGGGCTTGCTACGTCTGTAGTTTTATTGGATAACTCGAAAGCATTCGACACAATTGATTATGTACTTTTATGCGCCAAACTTGAATATTATGGTTTCGATGCTAGTTCTTGCAAGTTTTTTCACGACTATTTGAATAGCCGTATGCAGAAAGTTGTGATAGGTGAGGTTTCATCTGAATTCTCATCAGTTACATCAGGTGTGCCGCAAGGATCGGTTTTGGGCCCATTACTTCATTTAATATATGTGTCATAGATTCAAAAATTAATAAAATATGTGAACATTCAATCATTTGCTGATGATACTCAACTGTATTTCTCGTTCGACCCTAAATTTGCTGCTCATGCTGCTGAATGTATCAATAGTGATCTTTCGTCTTTGCAAACTTATTTCAGTGCTCACAACCTCAAACTTAATCCAAAGAAATGCAGTACCATGATTTTCAGTCCAAATTAC